CCACAATATAATTTTCAAAGTATAATTTATAAAATTTTTTTCCAAGTTTTGATTGCCTTGTCTCTTTAGTGTCCTTGATCTTTTTTTCTTCATGACCCTGGTGGTTTTGAAGAGCACAGAGCACACACTCTATAGAATCAAAAGAAGTTTCCCCCATGCCTGATTAGTTGGGAGTTGGGCATAGAGTAATGCTCTATGCTCTCTGGTGCACCAATCAGGAAGCACATGGTATTAGTTTGCCCATGACAATATCAATTTTTATCACTTGGCTAAGATACTATCTCAGATTTCTTCACTGTGAAATCACTGTTGTTCTCTTTTTAATGAGTAAGTGTCTTTCGGTGACCTCCATTGAAATTCTACATTGTTGTTCATCCAAATTTCAACATCCATTGATATTTCCTGCTTGTTACTATGCCAGTCGTTAATGTTGATTTTCTAATTGCATCCCTGCTTTGACACTTATTAGTTGTCACAATAATTCTAAAGAAAGACTTTCCTTCTGACATATTTGGTTTTTGATGTACAGTAGAATGAGCTTGTGTTCATGTTATATTCAGTGAGCTAGGATGCATTACCATTGCTATTTGCCTTGACACTCGTTACATCCCATCCTTGGCTTATAGAAACCCTTCCAACTGGCTCTCAGGCACTTTTTCTATGCCCCCCACATTCTTTGACCCCCTTCTTACTTTGTAGCATAAAATGTTCCAGGCTCTTTTTGTATTTTTCCAGCCTAACTCATTGTTCATATCAGATTCTCCAAAAATAATGAGTATGATACTTAGAATCTGAGGCATTGGTATGTTGCTTACAGTTTATTAGGTAGATCTAGGCGGTTTTGCATTTATTTACGTATCTACTTATACATCTTCAAAACCATAAGTTGATATTGATTCCACAGGACCCATACCAGCACCTCCCCCTCCATCTTCACAGCTCTTCTTTTGTGACATTGTGAAACATGAAAATTTAGGATTGTCTTTTCTAGTTATATTGAAAGCATGGACTTCATGTGATTTTACTTGTTCCTGTTGAAATGGATGTATTTTGGAGAATATGTTCTAGGAAATTTGGATTTACATGACTGTTATTACCACAATTGTCTTATAAGTATAAATATTTCTCAATGCATGAATTTAAATACGTAGAATCATAAAGTCTGCCTGCTATGCTGAAATACATCAAAGGCATTTTAAATTGATCATTACATTAATAGCATTATATTTCTAAGAATGATAGTCACAGGCATGGCAGAGTAGGTCTTTAATTCCAGCATTCAGCAGGCAGAGGATCTCTGTGAATTCAAGGCCAGCCTGGTCTGCATAGACAGTTCCCGGGCATCTGGGGCTACAGGGAGATACTGTGTCAAAACAAAACAACAACAACAAGAAAAAAACAAAGGAAAAAATTTATCATAATTTTTAAGTATTGATGAGCATGCAGAATACTTTGAGATAAGTAACAGCAGCAATATAACATACAAATACTATGGCTGCTGTTGATAATAAAATTACAGGTATTTCAAATACTGCTGTGGTTTGTTATTTTCATAATTGAAAGGCATGCTGTGGTAGTTTGAATGAATGAAATTAAATGCCCCCCATTTCTCAAGTGTTTGGTCCCCAGTTGGTGGTGTTATGGGGAGGTTTAGGAGGTACAGGCTTGATGAAGGAAATATGTCACTGGGTGGTACGCTTTGAGAGTTTATAGTCTTGCCCCACATCTAGTTCTAGCTTTCTGCGTGCGGTTGTGATGTGATCTCTCAGCTTCCTGTTCCAGCTGTGATGCCTGCCTCTCCGTTATGGACTCTTCCTCTGGAAATGTAAGACAAAATAAGCTCTTTCTTCCATAAGTTGTCTTGGTCATGGTGTTTTATCACAGCAACAAAAAGTAACTGTTACTTTTTGTTTAGCATGTAATGCACATGCTAAATTTCAAGAAGGGTTTCAAGAAAACATACTCTTTTTCTCCATCCAACTGTCTAGCCCTTTGAATTCTATACAGAGACTCAAGTTTCTATAGAACCTCTATGTCCAAGGGTTTTCATAGATGCCCAAACCATCCACCTACCCAAATCCAAGCCCCTTGGAGCTGGTAACCCACCTGATACCTAGGAATGACACCCACTTTCCTCACAGCTTCCCAGTCTCCCACTTACACAGAGGAGGGCATGCAGGGAGATGACTGTAGGAATGATTACAGATGTGAGAAGTTGTTTTTGGTTGAGGAGTTTTGTCCCAGCCTCCTGACACCCATGGCAAGGTGCCGGTGTTGACTCTAGCAGTTCAGCTTAGACACTGCTCAGCCCCAGCTACCAGAGTTCAGGAATCCCAGTCTCTCACATGGAAAGGCAGAGTGCCACAGTGCCCCTGGGCCTGGCAAATCATCTTGAAATTGCTTTATCGTCTATAAATGAAAGAAATAATATGCTCTAAGAGGCTGGAGAGAGGACCAAATGAGACTGTTTACAAACATTCGGTACAGAATGCTTTGCAAAGGGAGGCCACAGCCTCAATATTATTCCCCCTCATCTTTGCCCCTGGCAAAACTGACATCAGAACAAATCCTATCCACTGTTGTAGAGAACAATGAAATCTACAGATTTTTTTTTTTTTTTTTTTTTTGGCTGCCTTCAAAGAAAGCCTTTGGGAATTTGGCTCACAGTGAAAGTTAATGTAAATGTAACTAAATATTTCAATATTTCATAACTATCAAGTCCAGACTTAAACACTATAACTCATTAAATTTACAAATATGAAATGTCATTAAAATACCTAAATATATAATTTCACAAGAGTCTTTTGCATGTCCTTGTAATTATATATTTTTGATTATTATGTATTTGAGAAGGGAAACCCTGCTGTGTGGACATGTACTTGTGAAAAATCCTAATTCCTACACAGGGAAGGTTTGGGGAAACTGCACCAAATTATTAAGCCATAGTAGTTTAAAAATCTGTTTCCAAAGTACTTAAAGCCATACACCATGAGTTATCCACTTTCCTCAGACCTCACATATTTTAATATTTCTTTCTGGCTTAATATTTGTTGATGGATAGTTCTTTAGTCCTTTCTTCCTTTATAAATCTTTTAGAGAAAAAAAGATTTAAAAGGGCCATTATTTTTCCTTGAGGAGAAAATTTGAATTGTTTTTATCTGAAATATTCTTTACTTATACAGCATTGGAAATTGTGTACGTGAAGTCTTATTTATGTTTATATAAATTTATATTTAATGAAATTTTGAGTCAAATGTAATGATCTTTACTTTTAAAAGGGTTTAAAGGAAAAAAAATGGAAAAATCATGATGTTCATAAAACTGCTTAGTGCTCATAAACAGCCCTAATTCTGGAAGCATCCATAGGTCTACATTTCAGCTCTGGACTATTGGTTTGGTAAGGTTTTCCAGGTCTGTGTGATTCTAAGGGAAGGTCAAATCAAGGACAAAGTCATGGTATGGGGGCTGGAGAGATGGCTCAGTGGTAGAGCATTGGTACTGCTCTTACAGAGGAACTGAGTTCTGTTCCCAGCACCCACATCAGGCGGCTCATAGCTGCCTGTAACTCCATCTCCTGGGGATCCAATGTACTTAACACACAAATGCCCCAAAAAATACATAATTAAAAAATTTTAAAAAGCCAGGCATGGTGGAACATGCCTTTAATCCCAGCACTTGGGAAGCAGAGTCAGGTGGATCTCTGTTGAGTTCAAGGCCAGCCCAGTCTACATAGCAGGTTCCAGCCAGCCAGGGCAACATAGCGAGACCCTGTCTCAAAACAAACACAAAAACTGAAAAGAAAGAAAGCAAAAGACACTGTGTGGGCATGGCAGGAAACTGTAGCCTGTCGGTTGTGAGGAGAGGGAAATGTGTTCTTTCCCTATTTGATGTTTTCTTTGACTCCTCTTCCCTACACTAAGGAGTCAATACAGTGCTCCTGTGTGGAGAGGGAGCTGATGATCTCCCCAGTTAGTTAGAAGGATTAGAAGGGCTGGGCCTCCATGACTTCCGATCTAAGGCATCCAGGGAGCTAGTCTGCCCTCCTCCACTTGTGCACTTCCTCCTACTAGATGGTGTGCTTCCTCAGCGCTAAGCATGGCATGCTGAGGGAAGACAGAGGTGCAGGCCCCTGAGAAGGGTAGGGAAAGCCCTTCCGCTTGATTTTAGGTCCTAAGCTACTACTAGCTCTAGCAAAATTAACACTGCAGTTGGCTCAAAGCCTCAGTTTTACACTATGAATTTGCTTCATTTTATTCTGTTTATACATTTTTTTTCTCACAGGAGGCTAGTGTTCAGGATAGATTTTTAAAGATTTAAAACACTGGGCACTGGCCAGCATTTGTCTCGTCTGGTCTTCCCTTTCTCCTGAACTTACTGGGGCCTCCCACTTTAGTGTGTACTGCCCAGAATGGTAGTGCTTGCTTCACCAGGGTGGAAGGCTGATAGTAACTCAGCATAAGAAAATAGAAGCCACCTTGGGAAGGTTTTTCTAGTGAGAACAGGAAAATGCCCTCCATTCCCTTACATTCTGAAAATAATTGGGAGTCTGGCAGAACAAGAAAGACTAAGCTATACTTACTAATAGCTTTGAACCTGTTTTGCTCTTGAATTTCACTATGTGATGAGAGATAAGATTTTTACTGTGGGAACCCTACCTCTCAGATGCCTGAGTTCACATGTGAGACTGATGTCCACTACTCCATGCAACTACAGCTGCCCCATCCACGCAGTGACCCGTGTCACATCATGTTTGCCACTACTCCAACCTCTCTGCAGCTGAATTGCTCTGAGTTCTGGGTGGCTGGTTTTGACATTACCTTAAAGAAGCGGTATGTGACTTAAGTGACCATCTTCCCAACCAGAAACCAAATAATTAGTCTTAATTATCCATTTATCTACTCAAATACATTTAAATGTCTCTAATTCATCAGCATTTGGTGGTTCTCATTTGAATTTTCTTTCTAATTTTGAACACTCAGGACATCGTCCTTACTGTATATGAAAAGAGCGTCCCTGACACATACAGAAAAGGAAAATGCTCTTTTGGGTGTTGGTGCTCCTGACCCTCTGTGCTTTCCTATGGAATTATAAAAGACAATTGAAGATCTCAGACATCACCGATAAGTATGTTTTCATCACTGGGTGTGACACCGGCTTTGGAAACTTGGCAGCCAGAACTTTTGATAAAAAGGGGTTTTGTGTCATTGCTGCCTGCCTAACTGAGTCAGGATCGACAGCTTTGAAAGCAAAAACCTCAGAGAGACTTCACACAGTGCTTCTGGATGTCACTGACCCAGAGAATGTCAAGAAGACTGCCCAGTGGGTGAAGAAGCTCGTAGGGGAAAAAGGTGAGCGGTGAGCGATGAGAGGTGTGGAGGGCAGGAGCCAGGGAAGTAGCTAAAGCAAGACTGTATTCATGCTTTAAGAGGCCTTTCAAGAAAATGTCTCCTAAACCCCAGCAGCATGCTTCTTCTTCTTTTTTTTTTTTTTTTCTCTCTCTTTTTTAGTCTTTTTGAAACAGGGTCTCTCTGTAGCCCCAGCTGCCTTGGAACTCACTGCGTAGACCAGGTTGGCCTTGAACTCACAGAGATCCGCATGCCTCTGCCTCCAGAGTGCTGGGACTAAAGGCATGAGCCCCCATGCTGGGTTAGTAGCATGCTTCATAACCCTCACAGAGCTTCTGAGCCACCCATGTTTCAAGCTATGCTCTCTTGAGTTCCAGAGGGTGAATTTAGGACAGAGATGAAGTTCCTAATCTTCCTGACCTTCTCCAACAACATAACAGCAAAAGGAGTTGAGGTTAAAGTCCGCAGGGAGTATGGGAAAAATGTCCAAATCACTATCTGGATACCTGGGACCCACTTTTTATCACACATGGTTGCAGAACTCACACATTTGTAGTGGTATGGTAGAAAAAGGGCCTGGGGATGTGAGACTAGGAGTCAGAAAGACCAGGTGAACCAATGAGCAGTAGATACTCACTCTGTAGTAGATTCTGCTAAAATAGCATTCTGAACTGAGAGGATTTTATCAGCTTTGAAGATTGAGAAATTCCCATGGAAGATGTTGGAATCCACAAAAGAGTAAAACAAATGCAGGTGCTTGACCTTCGCATCCTCACCATGTACCTGAGACCCTGAAGCTCCAACACAATTTCATAAAACCTCAAGACAAATTTTATTGAATTTTAAAAAATTGTCTTTTCTTTTTAAGACAGAGTCTCCCTGTAGTCCCAGCTGAACTGGAACTTGCTATGTAGACCAGGCTGGCCTCAAACTCACAAAGATCTGCCTGCTTCTGCCTTCCAAGTGCTGGGAGCAAAAGCACGTGCCACCACACTCAGCTTCGAGACAAATTTTAATACCTGAATTCCCAACACCTTTAACAATATTCGTGTTTCCAATCAAGAAACAAAAAGCCAGCAAGAAGGCTCAGCAGGTAAGGACACTTGCCAGCAAGGCTGACTACCTGAATCCAGTCTCTAAGACACCATGAAAGAGGAGAGAACTGATTCTCACAAGTTGTCTTCTGACTTCCACATGCACACTGTGGTACACACACACCACTTGGGAGGCAGAGGCAGGCAGATCTTTGTGAGTTCGAGGCCAGCCTGGTCTACATAGTGAGTTCCAGGACAACTGGAGCTACAGAGAAGACCTGTCTCAAAAAGACCAAAAAAAAAAAAAAAAAACATGGAATTTGAAATTTTTAAAAAGGGGCTAAAGAGATAGTTCAATAGCTAAAAGCACTTGCAGTCCTTGTAGAGGACCTGAGTTCAGTACCCAGCACCCACACCAGGCTACTCACAATCGTCTGTCACTCCAGCTCCAGGGAATTCAATGCCATCTTCTGGACTTTGCGGGCACACACACACACACTGGTATACATACACACAGAAACAGACATGCACACACACATATACATAAATAAATAATTTAAAATAAAATAGTTTAAAAATTTTTTAAAAGAAACAAGTAGGTAACTTATTTTTTTCTAGCAAAAATCAGCATAGAGTCCTATGACTCTTCTTGCCTGTATAGAATATTTCATAAATGTACTCTGCCATCTTGCAAGGCAGGAAAAGCAGACCAATTTGCTCAACATCTGAGATGAGAAAGCAGAAAGTCTCCTTCGGAAAGCTTAAAAATCTGACATTCAGAACCAAGAATAGAACAGCAGTGAGATTGAATTCCAGTAACCAAACATCAACAATTTCAATTTAGTCTCCCACTCTGTCAGCTACCACTTCCCCAAACTGCAAAATATTTCAGAGCAGGCATGACTACACAGAGGAAATGGCACCATTGTATAAAACAGGAGCTGTATGTATTCCCATCAGAGAGGCCCATATAAATGCCATTTTCCACATCTCCTTCCCTCCCTCTCTGCTCCAGGTCTCTGGGGTCTGATCAATAATGCTGGTGTCCTTGGTGTGCTGGCTCCCACTGACTGGTTGACAGTGGAGGACTACAGAGAACCTATTGAAGTGAATCTGTTTGGACTTATCAGTGTGACACTGAATATGCTTCCATTGGTCAAAAAAGCTCGAGGGCGGGTTATCAATGTCTCCAGCATTGGAGGACGGCTTGCATTTGGTGGAGGAGGCTACGCTCCATCCAAATATGCAGTGGAAGGCTTCAATGACAGCTTAAGGTAAGGGAAATTAATTTACTTAGGATTTAACAGCAGCTAACACCTATTGAATATTTAGTATGTACCAAACACCCTTTTTAGTACTTTAAATTATTTCTACTTGCCCAGGGATACCCAGCTAATGAGATAGAACTGAGGTTTAAACCCAGGTCTTTGTTGGGTCTAATTCTTCTTTCTGTGTTAATGCATGATGCTCACAGTGGGTAAATTTACAGTCAACAGCTTGATTTTTCCAATAGGGAATTGTGCAGGGTAGGTTCCTCCACTGCTGTTCTGGCAGTTGTAGGTATAATAGCACCATCTTATTTAAGCCTCCAGCAGAAAAGTGTTAGTTCTTAAATGGCTGCTCAATACGCTCTGTCTGGGTTTTATAACTGCATTCAGTGGGACAAACAGGTGAGGTGGGAGGTGTGCACGCAATTTATTTTTATTAATTGATTTTGCCTGGAACCAGAATTTGCTGCTATCAGTTCATAGCTCTAAACTGCAAGTATTTGGGTTTTTTTTTTTTTTCAGTCAAGGTTCTAAAATAAAATGACAGCGCATTAAAATTGTGTGAGGAATCCCATTTCCCCTCCTCCCCTCCTCTCCCTCCCCTTCCCCTCCCCCTCTTCTAATGGACTGTGCCCATCCGATGCCAGAGTACAGATAATCCAGGTAAGCCTCCCTGGATACAGTACAGGCAGGAGAGACCAGAGAAGCAAATGGAAGATAAGTTGACTGAGTCATGTTGTGACAAGCAAGAGAAAAGACAGAATTATATTGACTTGCCTTTGATGTATCAATTTACTTAATTCAGTTAGTATTTATCAAAGTCATATGTTACAGTTATGATCTTTACCACAGGTCTAGGAGTAGCTTACTAATAAAAGGATAAATGATCCCACCAAAATTAGTAAAGACTGAGTAACTCCATTCTGTCATGCAAATTAGTTGCCAAGTTTGATTCTCTTAGGAAATAAACACAATGAAAGTGGTGTAATACTTCTAAAGCGTCAATGAGAAGTTAAGTCCCCTGGGGATCTTGCTAAAGATGCAGATTTTGATGGGGTGGGTCTGGGATGTGACCTGAGATTCTGCTTTTCTAATGAGCTACCAGATGCTGCTGGTGGTTCAGGGCTCATCACATTTTAAGTAACAACATCATGGACAAACTCCTTATGACAGCCTCCTGGGTTGACCTCTGGTTCCACTCTATAAGCAGCAATCTCATAATAATATTTTAGCATTTTTAGAGGTTTGCTCACTTTTAAAGATATTTCAACCAGTGTTTGTAGAATTTTCAAGGCAGCTATACAATGTCTGAAAGTAATCAATAAAGAATGTTTGTGTCTTCATGGACATGAAACTAGTGTTTGAAATTGAGTTATGCATGCAGGCCCAGTTCAGTGGCTGTTCTAGAATGTCTGAATACAGAAGGATTGAAGGGCAACAGTCCATTGGGGAGGATTGGGACTCTTTGAAGGTGCTTGATTTCATGTTGGTTTATGTACCTCATAAGCTTAGTAGCATGGCCTGTCCCCAGGTTGTATGTTATTTTCATGAGTAGGTGAGTAATAGATCTTCTCATATTCCCCCATGAAACTGCTGTTCCCCATACCCAACAGACATCAATTGACAGATGAATAAAATATAATTAAGTTGAAAAATAGCCTTTTAGATTTTAATATGACCTATCTTTCAAAATACCTCAAGGCCAAGCTGATTTACATTATCCATAAAATATATTTCAAACTATGTAATAATTACATAGCTTGAAAGCAAAATTTGAAATGAATTGAATCATATTTTAAGTTTACACTAGAGCCTATAAAAAGTCTTATGTGAGGCCTGGGGGGTGTAGCTCAGTGGCAGTGTAGCTCAGTGGCAGGGTTCTTTCCTAGCTAGCTAGCATCACAAAGTCCTGGATTCAAGCCTCAGCACTGCAAAAACAAAATTATGGTTAAGATATCTAAAAAGTGAGTAATTTTGCCTTCTTATATATTCCTGGTAGGACTATACATTAAATTTAGAAAATGATTGTGCAGTGGTCTGGAATACATTGCTTGGCCATCATAGGCAGGCACCAGAATTTTCCTCATACCTTGGTGCTCGGTAAATAAGTAGACTTAGGGTTGTCTACAGTGATGTGATGGAAAAGCTTACTCAACAGCATAGAGATCAACCTGGGCATGTCAGGGGTCATCACCTGTTCATTCGGCATCCTTGTTCATTCATGCTACAATCTCCTCACATTCCAAAACTGAAGGTAAACTTGTCCATCTAAGGCAGTTACTCATCCATTTCATCATAAGGTACTTTGAGTTCTAAGAAAGACTTAACCTGAATTCTCATTAATTAATGCCTGGTGTGGGACTTCAGGGGTTTGGGGGTATTCCATCTAGATCCATTTCCTCTTCAACCATTAACCAGCCTCACTTTACCATCTTGAATTTCAGTTTCTTCATCTATAAAATTGCAGGTAGAATAAGATGCTCGTTTCCGATGTAGATAGTTCTGTGATTCTATAAGGATTTATGAGAAAATGGTTACCTGGTAGCAAACATTCTCCAAATAAATTTGAATTAAACATAGAAAAAATAAAGACCAGGGATATAACTACAGAATGCCTGGCTAGCATGCATGGAGCCCTAGGTTGGATCCACAGGTTGATGAAAACATTTTTTAACTAAAAAAAATCTTCAATTGTCCTTTTCACAGGCGGGACATGAAAGCTTTTGGCGTACATGTCTCATGCATTGAACCAGGACTGTTCAAAACAGAATTGGCAGATCCAATAAAGACAACTGAAAAAAAGCTTGCCATTTGGAAACATCTGTCCCCAGATGTCAAACAACAGTACGGAGAAGGCTACATTGAAAAAAGTGAGTTTGGGTGTAGATCAAATGGATTCTGGGATTTGCTCTCCTGGTCAGGATGGAGACTCAATCATAAATGAAAAACAGTTCCTAAAGTAGTACACCGAGAGGGGTCGTTAACGTGGCTGTTAACTCCAGTGTCACACCATGCTTCTCTGAGCATTTTTAAGTACTCACTAAGCACTTCTGAATTATGCCACTTATGCCTCAAAAAAATTATTGTAGTAGTAAAATGAGGCTTTGAAAAGCAAAATGTCTTTTCCAAGGTGATCCACTGCCTCCTGGTCATGCTAGGACCAGAGGCCAGGCAGGCTGGTTCCAGGATTCACAGGTTTTGTCTCTACGCATAGCTCCTCTTTTTTAAAGCACCAGCCATTCATACAACATTATTCAAGTATTTGTGGGGGTAACAAGAGAGAGAGAGAAGACTCAGGCTCTGACCCTAACAATTTATTATAGTAGTAGCAAAAAGGAACCAAGTGAAACTGTAAGACAACAAGCCTACAGCCAGCAAGAAGACTCCCTAGGGCAACCTAAACACCAGGAAATGGTGCTAAATGGTGTGGTCTCTTATTGCTCAAGGAATTCAGACCAGGAAAGGGACTCTGCTGATTAAGAGGCCCTAATGGGACAGGTCAGGTTTGAATATGGCCTAAAAAAAACAGGAAGAAATTATTTGGGTGGAGGAAGCGTGTAGGAACACATGGAAAGGGAAGTAGGAAAAGAGGTAATGAATCAAAAGACTGAGTCAGAAGGAGAATAATAATGAACATTACACAGTGATGATGGATACTGTGAACATTTACTACATACTTGTCATCATTCTAAGTGCCTTACACGCCCACTCTCATTTACAGTCCCCAAGCTCTATGAAGAAGATGCTATTATCTCCTTCATTTTATAAGAAATAGAGACATAGTAAGTAACTTACTAGAAATTTCACAGATAGACTTGAACCCTGCTAGCCCAACTCTGCCATCCATTCTTGGACATGGCACAGCAATATAAGCAATGTACTGATGACTTTTGGTAGATTTCTGGTGTTGGGCCTTCCCTTCCACCTCGACTTTCTGAACCTGTTTATTTGATGTTCCTCAAACACTTACTATGCTTTTGCTTTAAGCTAGATAGGGTCCTAGCTCCCAACATGTCATGTTATCCCTCCAAACTGTGATTCTGCCTCTTCTTTAGTTACCGTACCAGTGAACTATGATGAAGTTCAAGATCAGCAGTTTGAATGATTCTCAAGAGTCAAATAAGAAACACATGTAGAGGTTTTCAAAATGAAATCCCCATCTATCACCCCAATATAACATACACACAGAAAGGTAGAAGGGGGAGGGGGAGAGAGAGAGAAAGAGAGAGAGAGAGAGAGAGAGAGAGAGAGAGAGAGGAAATATCATCTAAAACATCTAATTGACCAGCCTTCCAAGTGATTTTTCACTATAGGTTTACAGCCTCCACCGTTAGACACTGTATTTCTGCTTCACTGACCCTGATGGTTTCATGCAAGTTTGGTCAAAGAATAAACTTAACCCTAATCATTTAAATGAACTTTCTGTATTTGATATTGCTATTTTTTTAAATGTCTATGAGTACATCAACAAGTTCCTTCCAAATTGTTTTTGGTTTTATTTGTTTTGTTTGTTTGTTTTGGTCTTTTTGAGACAGGATCTCCTTGTAGCCTCAGCTGGCCTGGAGCTCACTATGTAGACCAGGCTGGCCTCAAACTCACAAAGATCCACCTGCCTCTGCCTTCCAAGTGCTGGGATTAAAGCTGTGTGCCATCACGCCCAGCTCAAAATATTTTTTAACTAACATCTAACAATTATACCTTTTCATGATACTTCATTACATGGACAGAAAGAGCAAAAATCAGATCAGGGTGATTGGCATATTAATTACCTCAAACTTTTATCATTTCTTTGGGTTGGCAGCATTCAAAATTCTCTCTACTAAGAAATATCAAAAACCATTGAACCTAATTTTATGCTGGTTTGTCTTATTCAATTTTTACAAATCAGAATTTAGCAATCAGCCAGACTTGTAATCCCCAAGTAGACCATAAATTTAGGTGACCTTTCTCAAATCTGTGGACTGGATAGTCATTTAAAACAGCCACTAACACATAGGTTCTTTGAACAACTTGGGGCCTGAAGCCAAAAGAAAGATCTAAGACGGCAGCTTTTCCGCCAAGAAGACACAGCTCAAACATGTTTTAAGAGCGCACGAATACCCTACAGCAGTTCCACTTTGAATTTTTGGAGGAACTTGCTTATAGTTTTCCATGATGGTTATTTTAACTTATAGTCCCACTCCTGCACCTGGAGGATCTCTTTCCTCCACATCCCTGTTAACATTGCTTATCTTTTGTTTAATAGCCATTCTTAGCGGTCAAAGATGGTATCTTGCTGTGGCTTGAATATGCTTCCCTGATGAGCAGTGATACTGAGCACTCACCATGCGCTATGAATAAAGCATGGTCACTTGTATGACCTCTTTTGAGAAATGTCTGCTCAGGTTCTTTTCCTGTTTTTAAGATCAGGTTACTTATTTTTTTCTTATTGAATATTAGCCCGTTATTAAACGTATGTCTGCAAATAACTTTCTCATTCCATAGGTTGTCTCTCTTTTTTAACTGTTTCCTTTGTTGCTCAGAAGAGTCTTAGTTTCATGAGGTCCTGTCCATCTATTTTGGCTTTCCTGGTCTGTGTTGTCAGAATGGCATTCAAAAACTTATTTCTTAGGCTGGAGAGATGGCTCAGCAGTTAAGAGCACTAGCTGCTCTTGCAGAGGACTGGGGTTCGGTTCCCAGCACTCAAATAGCAGCTAACAACTGTCCATAACTCCAGTTCCAGGAGATCCAATGCCCTCTTCTAACCTCCATGGGTATTGCACAGCACAGGTACACTTACATACATGCAGACAATACACTCATACACATAAAATAAAATAAAAATAATAAAAAAGTTTTAAAAACTTATTTCTTAAACCAGTTTCAAAAACCTTTTTCCCTGTGTTTTTAATTTAGGTCTTACATGTAAGTCTTTGATCCATTCTGACTTTTGTATGTGATATAAAGTAAGATTCCAATTTCATCCCCCTGATTGTGGACATCTAGTTTTTCAAACACCTTTTATTGAAGAATCTGGGATTCCAAACCTTTCCCAAGCCCTCATAAAATATCTGACTCTCCAGAGGGATCTTAGCTCATGACTCAAACAATTCATTTGCTAGAGAACTAGAAAACTTTTAGCTTCTTGACTCAGACATTTGAGAGTAATTCTTTGTTCATAGAACCCTAAAGCTGTGTGATGTGTGAGTGAACTCTTCATCTGCATAGACACACACCCTCACATACAGAAATACAGAGACACCCACATTTCCTATAACATAGTTCTCCTCAAAATGAATTAGGAATGAAATCCGTAACTTCCTAGACTCAAAGTCCTCATGGACTGTATAAAGTATCTTTTTGCATTGCCTTAGTCTTCAAAGTTCAGTCCTCGGACCAGCAGCACCAGCATTATTTGAAAACTCGTTTAAAATGCAAATACTAAGACTTTACATCATACCTACTGACTCAGCAATTCTGAAGTTATACTCCAGAAATCTGAGTTTCAACAAGCCCTCCTAGAGATTCTGCTATTCACCCAAGTTTGAGAGTCACTGGCCTAAAGAAAGCATTCTAGCATCCTTTTCTGAGGACTAGAAAACCATTCCAGTGAGCTTCAACTCTAATGGCAAACTTAAAATGTAGTTCCTCTCATACACCCCCGCCCCATCTGCACCCTAGCCTCCCACTCTGCTTCTCCTCTACTTCCCAAGAATGAGGGTATTTTGGTCTCTTTTGTAGGTCTAGACAAACTGAAAAGCACTACATCCTCTGTGAACTTGGACCTCTCTCCGGTGGTAGAGTGCATGGACCACGCTCTAACAAGTGTCTTCCCCAAGACTCGCTACACTGCCGGAAAAGATGCCAAGACGTTTTGGATACCTCTGTCTCACATGCCGACAGTTTTGCAAGACTTTTTATTGTTGAAAAAGAAAGTAGAGCTGGCTAACCCCAAAGCGGTGTGACTCAACTGACCACAAATGCCTGCCCTGGGCTATGAGATTGACTGATTTCAGGAACACATCATTTCAATTTCATTCTTTACCTAATTCAGCTTGGATGCATTTAGATTATGCTTCTGTTTGTAAAAGAAGAGTTCCAGGATCTTTTCTCAAGCCTTCTTTGAAAATAAAGACAGAGAAGGCCTGACACAGAAGCTGGTCTTGCCTGGTGTGAAGCTTTGCCTGATTGGTAGGATGAAAGAGAAACTGAAGATTCTCCATCTCCGATCCATGAGCTGCTGCCTGCCTCGTGGTGATTCAGTAATCCAGAATGTTAAAAATTGGCCTTTATCAAAATAGTAAGAGATAAACAGAATCTTTGAATCTGATGTGTTCTGATAGCTTGCTGAGAAAAACACTCTCAAGGCTGGGAACTCGCTTGGTTCCGATAAGCTTTGATATGAGCAGGAAAAGGAAGAACAATAAAACCTGATGTAACATAGCACTGATAGAAACTGAGGGGCAGTGAAAATGAGGGAAAGAAATTCAAGTAAAACAGGAGAAAGAGACCAGGAAAGAAATGGAAGGTCTGTGAAAAAGAACAGATAAGGAGGCAGAGGGACTCGAATGCAAGCTCCTACTCTAGGGGGACAGAGGATGGACTTCCTGCTCAAGGTCACTCTCCTCCCCATACACACACAGCTTTCTGCTGGAAGGCTGGTAGTAACAGTCTACCTTATCCTTCCAAAAGAAGGAAAACAGTATATCTATGTTTATTCTGGCACATGTGAAAGTAATGGATCCGGACTACTTGGTGCACCTTATATCTGAGATGGTTGAAAAGTCTGCATTTTTAGATGTCACTGAAGCCCACAGAGACAGAAAGCTAAATTAAAAGGCTGTCTTTAGCCTACAGTTACAATCCTTGTAGATCACAACTTGCAGAACTTGTCATGGTTCTGTATTGGTCAATTCTGGGCCTGGATCCCACCCATAAGAAACGGTTCCTGAAATAGTGTTGTCCCCAGATTTCAGCACCAATACCACTCACAAAGGTTTGTTGTGTGTTTACATAAAGCCCATATTAGCAGAATTCCAACACTTTTTGTAGAGTAATATGATGCAAAAGGGCCAGAAAACCACCTAGTGCACGAGTACTTGCACTTATAATGAAGAAAATAGATAATATTTGTTGCTTTAAACAATGTTCATTTGAAGGTGTCACTGATTTTGCTCATTCCATTCACCTTTCCAGAAAGTTCTACTTTAAAGATTTAGTTTTGTTGTTTCTAATTATATGTGTGCACGTATGTCTGTGTGTGGGTATGTGCACATTAATTAGTACAGGTGCCCAAGAAGGCCAGAAGCATCAGATGCCGTGGAGGTGGAGTTGCAGACAGTTGTGAGCCTTCTGATTTGGGTACTGGTAACCAAATTCAGACCTTCTGCAAGAGCAGTTACCCTCTTAACCATGGAACCATCTTTCCAGCCCTCAGAAAGGTCTTGTGAGATCATCTCTGTTCAAGTTTACATCAGTGGCTGGAAGCTCGGTGCTGTCGGTCTACCTGGATATGTATTTCATAGTTCTGCTCATCCTTTTTGTATCAAAATAAAAAGATCATCACAAGAAAGAAACAGAAGAATTCTCAAGCAAATTTTTCCAAGCGGTTGCACTACCTACTGCAAGGTCATCCCATCTTAGCCCAGACGCAGTTCACTGTGGGACTTTGGTTTCATTTGGTTGCAGTTAGCCACGTCACAGCTGAAGCTCAGCAGCACTGTCCACTTAGAGCCCCTTCTTCTCACCTCAAGCATCAGGTTCTTGGCTCCATTTCACCACTCCAGAATCTATGACACTCTGCTTGTCTATTTTCTAGATGTCCCAGGTCTACCGAGACTTTCAGAATCCAAAGGAAATACCTTTGCTGCTCTTCCCACCATTCTAGTTCAGTTGTTCAACTCTGATTTTCCTTTGTTTTGCCTAGAGCTGAGGCAGTTTGTTTTGTTTTGTTTTTCTTTTTTTGTTTGTTTTTTTGTTTTGTTTTGTTTTTCTTATTCCTTCAAGTAGCTACAACTTGAGAACTGTTTATTCCCACCAAAAACTTTTCTCCTTAAAACAAGTAGCATTGAGCCAGGTATGGTGGTACACACCTTTAATCCCAGCACTCGGGAGAGAGAGGAGGCCAGCTGTTCTACATAGCAAGTTCGAAGCTGGCTGTGGCTGCAGGGAGAATCTGTCTCAAAAAGACCAAAAAAAAAGTAGTATTAAGCATGTCATTCCATTCCAAAATAAAGTCAAATATAAATGCCAACACCTTATAAAGAGTTTTATAGTAAAGGAGAAGGCGGGATATTCATACTATGGAGCTATACATCTAAACAAAGACACAAAACTCATGAGGGAAGGAACGTTGGAGAGACATAGGAAAGTGTCTAGAGCATCTCAGGCTTGGGCTCCTGGATTTCTCTACATCTCCTATTCGTAACATCCTTGGGAAAATAACACATTTTCATCCCCAAATACTTGGAAACATGTCATGTGTTGAGCATTTCTCTGAGTGAAGTCCTACAATAAGAAGTAAAATAGATATGATCTTTCCCTTGTGGCTGTATTGATATAGTTATAATTCACAGGCCAGTACTCAGAATGCCTTAGAAGACCTTCTCCAGGGATCCATGGCCAGGATGAATTGAGGTGCTGTTTTCTGCCACAGCCAACTTTGAGAATGCTTCCTCACTCAGTTGAGAAGGACCAAGGCAACTTCCAACTCTTCCTTCTAATCTAGAAGCCAAACTGTGTCTTCCACAGCTCTATCAGAACTATTATCTGCCCCTCCCCAGCTTCCCAACTAGTATTAATTTCATCTCTTGGAGACCTCAAGGATGTTTACTTCACTGACATCTCTAGGACGGTCACTTCTCCGTGTATCACCATGTTGTCTCTTGTCTCAGTTGCAGCATGTTCACTCTGAGACACAGTCAGTGACGGTTCTTCACTGCAGCAGGGCTTTTCAAAGTTAAAATCCAGTCATTCTACTGCTCCCTCCACCACCCTCACTTCCACCCTTCAGCTTGTTTACATGACACTGAGTGAAGGGTAACATGCATGACATAAACCATATTGCCCTGGCAATCCTCATCACCATTCTTTTTGGCCTCTGTCCTCCTGACTCTGCCACCTCAGGCCTTTGCCCATGCTGCTTTCTAGAAGTTCCCGTTTTGCCTGATTATCTCATTTCCTCATTCTAGAGATCAGCTTCAGAGAAGTCCATATAATTCCAAATTCCGACTACCATCTCTCGATCTTGTACACACTCTGCCCTATAATTTGCTTCAGGGCAATCACCAAAGCTTACGCGTTTATGTGATTAGTTACTATTGGTCTCCTAAACCAGACTGCAGATGCCATGAAATCTGTAGCTATGATGTTTTGCTCATCTTTGTACAATGCTCATACATTGCTAGCACACAGACCATAAATGTTTGTTGAATGGATGCCGAAATCTGCCGATATTAGGCTGAGCAACAAGCAGTCTGTCTAAGATCAAGCTTGCAGCTGTGTTTCTCCTGTTAGCAATGTGCCAACTGCATTCAGTTCCTGTAACTTCTGTAAACCTTGAGTATTTCCCTGGCTCTAACCCTCCCACAAGCCTCCGCTCAGAGAAGACTCCATGGGCCACAGAGATTGCTCTTTACCTGCTGATTCAGAGATACTGTGAAAGAGCCTGCCATCCTGAGCCCAGAAAAAGCAGAGCATCAAGAACCACTTAGTCTATTTTGCTACCTGCAGGCAGGACATGTCTAAACTATCCAGACTAAAGAGACACTCTTCCATTTAAAATCTCTCCAGAAAACTCCAAAACATCTGTGGGCAACTCAGTCTAGCATTTAAAGAAGAAAATTGCTAGATGCCTCTAAAGAAAATGCCCCATTTTAGGCCTTTCTCCATAATATTAATCCCAGTCATTCTCAAGAACATAAGAAATTGCGGACCAGTTAGTGTGGAGGAAATACCTAAGCATTCTCAAAAATGAAACACTCTGGTATCTAGAAATGATTTGTGTCAACTCAATCTAAGCGATTGTTTGTAAAGACAAAGCTTCTGGCCAGCTCTCATGGATTCTTTCATACTGAAAAACAAAACAATTCTATTGATAGTCATAATATCCTTTTTCTTAGCTGTGATTCTTTTCCCCCCTCTTTTCGGTACCGGGGCTCAAACCCAGGCCCCATGCATGCTAAATCCATGTTGTACCACTGAGCTGAACTCCCTCCAGCCACTGTGATTCATTCTTAAAGGTAAAATTTTAATTTCCATCCTGGTACATGAAGCCTGATGATAGCCAGAGCATTGCTACAGATTGTAGTTTAACAATTTCCAAGCTCTCTTACTTTGTAACGTTTGCCCAAGAAAGATCCAGATCCCAGCTCCTATACCCAGAAATAGGATTATAACATGAAATCGGTCAGGCAAGGACAAGACAAACTTCTGTCATTTTTTTACAGCAACTGCCCCAAATTGATATATTTCACTTCTGTTAAAGAAAGTGGAGACAGAAAGGATTCCACTATGGATATGTAGCCTGACTGTGGACAAAAGGCACTCTGTCTCATATATAGGTAAAAGCTTACTCTCAGTCATCTGAGCCTGGTTTTCCCTCCTTGATGGTATCTATGAGCCAGACAGAACAAAAACATGACTTCCCACAAGTGGAACAAGAAAAATAATACAAGAAAAATATTTAGTGCTTAATAGGTCAGTCAGATTCTTAGCACATTTGCTGTGAGTTACAAGAATAATTTCATCTAACCCTCACCATATCTCAGTCAGGTATGTTTTTTAGAGAAGGACACCACAGCCAAGTAGACAATTTCCCCAATTTTTAGAGTGCTAATTAGTAAGGGCCAGGACTTACCTAGGCACCCTCTTGCCAGAGCCAGTGCTCAGAACACTGTTAGATATGAAGATTCTGAGGCTTGCGGAGTATTTTCCTAAACTGATTCTGGTTGTACAAAAACAAAACCTTTATTAACTCAAACTAACATCAGTCTTTCCTATTCAATGATGATCATACAAATGATGTGTAATTTTGAGCAATATGTAAAGAGACACTCATTTCTGTTTTCTACATTCTATTTTTTTATTTCTCTCACTTATGACAAAATAATAAAAGCATTTATACATCATTTCTCAGATCTTTGAAGTTTTCTAAGTTTCTGATATTTTTTAACCTTTTCTCTTCTTTCCCAGCTTCTTTGTTGTTGATTTTGTTTACTTGTTGTTGTTTACAGAATTTATTTCCGATCACTTTTTGCAAATCTCAGTAAAGACCTTGGGTGAATTATCCTGGCCTAGGGCCAACAGTCAAATCTTTTAGCTTTTAAGGTCAGATAAAAAGGAAAAGACCCACGATTAGGGTGCCACAAAAACCATGCCACTTGATAACTATTTTTTTTTTAATAAAACCTAGACATGGTAGCACATGTCGCAGCATTTGGGAGGCAGAGGCAGGCAGATCTCTTTGAGTTCTAGGCCAACCTGGCCTACATAGCAAGTTCCAAGTCAGCCAGGGCTACAACTTAGTGAGACCCTAGCTCAAAAGAAAAAACAAAAACAGCAAGAACAACAAAAAACAAAACTGGACAGGCTGTCTCAGCCAGTGTGGCTAGGGCCAAACCTAGGAACTGCAAAGACAGAAATAGCAGATCCTAGCTGGAATGAGTTCAGAGCCTCCCAGCATGGTCACCCTGCAGTCTAAGAAAATACTAATAAGTTACTGGATCTTATAATTTGACTAGAGATCAACTAGCCCAGCATCTGTCTCATAGACACATTTCACTGATGTGAAAAGTTTCTGCTCCAATACCCTGAATGAAACGTCACTACCTTTTATTCGCCTTGTCAGTTAGCTCTGGTTATGAGAACAATTTTTATTATTTTTGAGTCAAGTCCACTGGAGGAAAGAGAAAAAAGGGTGCCACATCAGCTGTCCTCATTACATTGTGCTAATGCGTCTCCTTCCCTGAACTTCCAAACCAAGCCAAACTCCACCCTGAGTGCCATCCATGCATTTTTCTCCCGATGTCTTCATGGCTTTTATATAGCAGAAATTTTTTTGATGCTCCATTTTGCAAATGAGAAACCTAATATCCAAGATTCTTTCATCTAAGATTCCTAAATCATCCATTAATAAAAAGCTAGGTCAGGAAAAAGGAAAGATGAGAGGGAGGAAAGCAGAGCAGAGTATTAATGAATTTTTCAAGTATTTTATTATCTTTATTTTATGTGTATAAGTGTTTTGCCTGCATTATCTAAGTGCACCATGTGCATGCAATGCCCACACAGGTCAGAAGAGGGTGTCAAATTCCCTGGATTCTTTCTGGCACACTGGAACTTCCCTAAATTGGCAATTTGCAAACTCTGAGTGTTGAAAATCTAAGACCTGGGGAGATTCCATGCACCTTCTCCATGCCTTCTCTCTCTCTCTCTCTCTCTCTCTCTCTCTCTCTCTCTCTCTCTCTCTCCTTCTTTATGACATTTATTTATTTAGTAGGTTGGAGATTGCACATACCATGGTGCACATATAGTCAGAGGACTACTTACAGAAGTTGATTCTCTCCTTCCATCACGTGGCTCTCAAGTGTCTAACTCTCGGAGTCAGGCTTGGCAGCAAGCGTCTTAACTGAGCCATCTCACTGGTCCCACACCTTGGGACTACTAAGAGAACTGTCTGAAGGTAGGCTTTTCTCATTTCATTTCCTACTCACTCTCCAAACCCCTGATGTAAGCATACATTTAAGAAAATTGACTTCTTTCTATAAACAGGAAAAAACCTGACATTTTCATGTTTCACAAATTGCAATGCGAAACATTCTGAATAAAATAAGTAAAATTTTCTGGTCAGATCCCCACTCTAATCACTCATCCCTTCTTTGGGCTCTCTTCCAATCAAGCCACTCTTTCACCTCCCAAGTGGAAAGGGA